TGTTAAAATATAAACAAACACCACATATTTTGATTCTACTTCATACTTCTCAGCATCTCGAATTTCTAACTTGAAAAATGACATGTACAGTATCTATTTTTGAAGGATTTTTTTGCTTTTTGGACTCGATAACAATTATAAAACAACTGGTATAGTGTCTGGCATCCAGTAACCCTCTAATAATCATTGCATTTTTGCTTTATCCTTCTTATATTCTTATGTTATCTCATTTGATAGGAGGGGAAAGTTTTGGCTTCATTCTGCAGATGAGCTACTGAGAAAAATTAAGATAATTTAATGCTACATATAAGGCTGGGGAAGATGAGATTAGATTGAACGTTAGGTTTTCTAATGTTTGTCGCTGACCATTTCTGTGCCCTGTCCTCACAACCTCTTAGCCTAACTGGCATCAGCCTTTGCTGTAGTGGATGGTCCCTGCTTGAGACGATGCCCCTCTTTACACGCTCAGGATTCCAAGTTGCTCACTCTTGTTCTCTGCCTCAGGCTCCCCTCCACAGTTTCCAGGAATTTCCTGGGCAAGACAGTCCTGGTTGTACAGAGGAGACAAAATCCCCCAGGGCACCCTTGGATGAATGGAAGTAGGCAGCAGTGGATGAATGTCCCAGCCTCTGCTCGTTCAGACAGATCACCCTGAAACACCTTACTCAAGCTGCCGCTGACTACAGTGGGAACCATTTTAATAACACCACTAAGGCGGCTCCATCACACTCTCTGTTATATCCTCAGTCCTTTGTCCTGAGTTCACCTCCCAAATAAATGACCTGTACCTAAGTCCTGCCTTGGAGTGCATCTTGAGAATGAAGATCTGGTCAGGGAGAAGGAGGGTGACTTTGTTCTGTTTTTGTTTGTGTCTGTACCATATCTCTTTCTCTTTCTCTTTCTCTACAGGTCACCAAGATGCTGGCAGTGGTTGTCATCCTTTTTGCCCTTTTATGGATGCCCTATAGGACCCTTGTGGTTGTCAACTCATTTCTCTCAAGCCCTTTCCAAGAAAATTGGTTCTTGCTCTTTTGCAGAATTTGCATTTATCTCAACAGTGCCATCAATCCAGTAATTTACAACCTTATGTCCCAGAAGTTCCGTGCAGCCTTCAGAAAGCTCTGCAACTGCAAGCAGAAGCCCATAGAAAAGCCGGCTAACTACAGCGTGGCCCTGAGCTACAGCGTCATCAAGGAGTCAGACCACTACAGTACAGAGCTGGAGGATATCACTGTCACGGACGCTTACTTGTCTGCCACGAAAGTGTCTTTTGATGATACCTGCTTGGCTTCTGAGGTAACTTTTAGCCAAAGTTGATTTGTGAAGTACAAGAAAATGGACCACAAAGTAAATGAGAATCTCTGCAGTTATGGACAAGAGAGGACACAGCCAATAAGCATATTGGAAGGGAGACCAGTCTTTTCCTCTGCTCTGAAAATCCTGGTCATAGATACCTACGCAAAGAGAATGATTCAGATTTTCTTCTTACAAAGCTGGTACCACAAAAAAAAGGAAAATCTGTAAAATAGCTAAATGTTGAAAGCTAAAAGTTTAGCTCCTTTTATTTACTTGGAGAAATCACGATACTTTCTAGGGTTATGAAGTTACAATAAATTCTGAGTACAATTTGCATTATTCATAGTAATCTTATCAAATGTGATTTTCCCTAAAAATTATTCATATTTGGTAATTTGTCTTTTTGAGACAGGGTCTCGTTATGCAGTTCAGGCTGGCCTTGAGCTCACTTTGTAGCCCAGACTGGTCTCGAACTCACAACAATCCTCCTGCCTCAGCCTCCTGAGTGCTGGGATTACAGGTGTGCATCACTACACCTGGCAGGCAACACATTTTTAAATGTTTTATTTAGTATTTCCTTTTCATAAAGTACAAGGTTTCTCATGAATATCTGAAACTACAGAGAAAAGTAAGAAAAAAATTTGCATTTTTTGAGTAAAAATAAGATTTCAGACATGTTCAATATATTAAAAAGACTGTCATAATGTTTATGATGTTTAGAAATTCAGAGTCTTTCTTACAAAGTAAAATCATCATATAACTTCAGTGTAAAATCAATGTCAAAATACCCAAAAGTGTCAACTGAGGAGACGTGATTTGATTTTGATATCAATCCAGCTCTTAACAACTTTTCAAGCCTCCTAAATGATGGATGGCAGTAAAGAAATATTCATATTAAATAGCTATGGAGATATAAATTGACATACAATGTGGAAAAACACAAGGTCTATTATAAAAAAGGACTCACTTTATCTCTGAAACTTTTAAGGAAGAAAATCCTTTTTGAGCATTCTTTTGTGCAAACTACTGAGCTATGTCAAGAAAACCCTTTTGGCTGAAGCCAGCATAAAAGTCTGAAACATCCCCAAAAGCTTAGCTGTTAGCTAAACCTGGCTGTCATACTTCCAGGTGAAGACCTCCCAGTTCATGTAGACCTCCCACCATGGATTTTGGCTTGTCTGCCATTTTTTTTCCTTCTTGTCCATTTGTTATTTGTGGGTTTATTGTCAAATGCTAGTAATATTTTGTTTACAGATTCTAAATCAAAGCAGTGAGGAAGTCTGTTACCTTTATTTTTAACAGGCACAAAACTGATTTCTTATTACCAGTATCTTTATATTTTTGACTTAGACCTACTAGTCCTATGATTATTAGACAGGACCTACTTTTCTTTTTGACAGGACCTACTTTATTCTTTCTTCAAATGACTCACTACTTTTGGCTAATCAGACTAGGAGTATAAATCAGTCACCCTTGGCGACAGTTCCGGAATCACTGATTTTTAAGCAAAAAGTACCTGTACTTCCAAGTACCCCGTAGGCTGGCATCTTTCCTCTCCAGCCTATGCCCCTATTTCATGAATTTTTCTGGAACTTAGTTGCTAACGTCTCCCCATCTTCTTAAAGAAGAAAACACCATTCTGTTTCAAGTGCTGCCTCATGAAGGGCCTGCCACCAGAGCTCCATTCCAGAATGTGCTATTATGAAATATGGCCTCATCTACGGCCGCAAGACATTGTTATCCTGATACCAAAGCAGTAAACAAATGCAAGGAAATATTCATAAAAATACGCCAAAAGTTTATTTGCATGACACCAAACAGTCCATTTTAACTGAATTTTCATCTTGGATTAAATAATTTTGGAGCACTGCAGTGACACTTGAGTGACACGACACCAAATCACACACTCAGATGTGCAGGTGCATACAAACACATGCATGTGTACATAAACTAACAAAGGGATTGGAATATGCTAGAAATGTTTTTCATTAGGAGAGAGAACAAATGTCACTGAGCACCTGAAGGGTCTTAGGTATCCTGGTAACTGACATCGTCTTCAGTACGGGGTCACCATAGCTCTGCCTGCTCCGGTGAGAACACCAGTATCAGGCATTCGTGCTGTTCCCGTAAGTAGTGTGTGCTTTTCTTCCTTTTTACTTTTTTCCATAAAGTTGATATTCTGATTGAATCCCTACGACCCAAAGGCCTAACAAATATGTATACACATGTACATATACACATACATATATACACTCTGCAGAATGATAATATCAGAACTTGAAATAATTATGATTAGTCTTATATGGCATATACAGAGCACAATACAATCTACTGACCTTTGGAAATATTACATATGGGGTCAATTTTTCCATTTTAATTGTTGAAAAGTTATCTGGTAATAATCTGTTAGTTTTAGACCACACGGGAAATTCAAAAGAATCTATTTGATAGTCTTTCTACTCTAAAATAAATGCCACAATAAAATTAGATATTCCTGTATTATATCTGATACCTGGATCTCCACAGCGAAGATAAAACTTTTTAAAAGCATCCTTTGTTGCCCTATACTAAATCGTAAAATATTTCCACAAAGCTTAACATAGCATCTACTGAAAAATAAAGAACTAAATTAAAAATTACTGGTGAGGGAAAGTAATGTTATTAAGAGATTCCTTGAGTTACTTTATTACTTCCAATTTCATTAATTGCTAAGTGTCTTTGTTTAGATCTTGAAACTGGGTTAATGGGTAAAGGGCACCGTTCATGAATAAAATAAATGAACATAAATTCCCTCCTAGGACTTCTTCAATAATATTGGAGTACATTTCTAAAGTTTAATGAACAATAAAACTTTCTAAATGCCAAAGATAAATAGGAGCAGCACAAACTGTATAATCACTCTTAAAGAGATTCATTGTATAGAACACTGTACCTTGATAATCTACCAAAATAAGCAGCTGCTTTGAGTTAAACTGCTAGTAATGTCAAAGGGAAAACTTAAACTATTAAGATTTAGTTTGGTATAACTGAGTCTTAAATAAATACTTGCACTGTTTCACCTTCAGACTATGTTGGCATAATGATAATATGTTGTAGTAAACCTGGATCTACAGTTTTGGCTGCCTTCAAAAAATAAGACTGATGTTATTCTAAAGTACATTAAATCTATAAACATGATAAAGACAAAAATAATAACATTTAGAGAAAGTTACTTTAAATACTTAACTCATGATACTGTGAATTCTCTAAATATTATCTTCAGTATTATTTTTGCCTCTCAATTGCAACTCACAGAGCGGTTGAACTACTTGGGCAGAAGTAAGAAAGCTAGATGTGAATGAGACAGCAGCAAACAGTCAGTCCCGAGTTCAGTGAAAAATATTTTCAAATGTTTGGAATCCTCCATTCCCTTGAGGAGGACACAAACACAAACAGAAATCTGTAGCAATGTATTTTCCATTGCTTTAGCGGTCTACAGTCAATAGTTACCAAAACCAAGATTAAATCGAGCAAATTTAAATTTTTAGATGAAAACCCATGAAGAAATCTTGTAAAGCCCTGCAGTGATAACTATATTTTTTTCTCTCTCTCCTCCCTTTCAAACTCTTTTTCCCCTTCAAGAATCATTTTCCTCAGAGTGCAAAGATTCATCTAACTTCTTTCAAGAATAAATCTGGACCTGAAATATCTTAAATAAAAATATAAATGTTCTTTCAAATGCATTTATGTATAAGAAAATGTTTCATTTCATAAAACCACTTCTAAATTATAACAAGGTAGAGTTTTGGCCTTTCAGAGGTTTGAGTCAGAGGAAAAATATGGGAAAAGCCACTGCAGAAATTTTGGAAGAAACACTAGACCCTCTCATTTTCCTAAAACTCAAAATGCAGTGATAAATGTCATGGCCGATATTCTATCACTTCAAGATGTAACCCTGTGGGAATATCAAAAATATGAATTTTGAATGTCACACGTAACTTTTAAAAGCAACTATTAATAGTCAATTTGGAGAGATCTTACAATAACTTAATATAAATGTCATTTATCCTAATTTTATTCTATGGACTATACTTAGAAATATCAACTCTTTTAATTTTCAACTTCACTGACCACACAGAAAAAACAAAACAAGATCAGATAATACCCTGTAATATTTTTATTGTTTGTTTGGTCTATAAGAATAATCTCAAACCACTCAACAGCCAACTTCATTTAAGAGAACAATCAGTCACTGAGATGGTTTGCACCAAATAGGCCATGCCAAAATAAATTAAATTGATGTGCTTCTGGTTTTAATACTCCGATATTCTCTTTGATAAAAGTGACCATGAATGTTTGGGTACAATGTTGTCAGGCCTGTTTACATTCTTCTATCCAAGCACATTCATGGCAAATCTAATATAATTGGATGGATTTTTATTTTAGAAATGCCACATGGAAAAATTTAAAACCCTGGATGAAATAGTACAGTTAAGATAGCACCTTCAAATCTAAAGGTTGCAAGGATACAAAAGAAAATAGTTCTAGTGGCCCCTACAAAAAGCCAGTCTACATAATGACTATCTTCGAGTTCTCAGGCAGGAGCACGTGTTTGAAGGTCACACTACAGAGCCACCACTGGACCAGTAGAAATCAAAGCACTTTGAAAATTAGCACAGTTAAAGACAGGATAAGCAGTGGAGTTAGCTGGAGCTCCTGAGATCCTATGAGTATTTTATTCTTTATAAAACAATGGACTTATTTCTGGTGCATGTGGCAATTCTTTGACAAAAAAGAACATGGCCTTTCGTAAGAATGTTTTGGAGTGATATCAACAAAGATGGGACCTTTTCAGAAGAGAGAAATGAATACAATATGGCAGTAGAACAAGACTCCATCTAACAGAGGTCTAAATTCAAAAGTCAGTAAGAACACTCCATGATGCTTGAAATGGCACAAAGTGTCCTAGTCATGAGGCCAAATGTTCACGCTCCACTAGGACTCGCAAGCCACCCCTGGCTTGACATACATAACAATTAGAT